CTGCCGCCCCGAGAGGCCGATAACGATAGGAGCTTCCCACACCATCCTGGCGGCTCTCGCGAATCGACCCCACATCGACGCCGCATCGACGCCACACCGATGCCACATCGGCGCTGCATCGGCGCTACATCGGCGCCGCATCCTCGAGCTCCAAGAGCTAATTAACCGACGCCCGCGCACTGCAAGAGCGGAGTTGCGAGGGTGCACGGGGCTCCCATGATCTGCCACCGACTGGTGATCAGCCCCGAGATCCCACGCGTAGGAAAAAACTGAAACGTCCGGAAAATCACGACCAGGGCCCCAGACCCCATCCCCTCGCCCTCCACCTTCCGCACCTTCCGCGCGGCAGGTTCCACGCCGCGGCGGCCGCCACCGCGGCCGCCACTGCGCCTTCCGCCGAGGCCGCAGCAGCGGTTTCGGCGGCGGCGGCGGCCGCCGCGGCGCGGCACCTGCCGCGCGGAAGGTGCGGAAGGTGGAGGGCGAGGGTCTTCCTGCACCCCTCCTCGCGCCGCATCGACCTCCGGGGGCCCCGCGGCGCGACGCCCCGGCGCACCACACGCCCGGCTCGGCGGGACCTCCGCCCCGCCTGGCCCTCGAGACACCGACCCCTGCGCGGGCCCCGCGGCGCGACGCCGGGCGAACGGGCGCCCGCCTCGGGGCGACCTCCGTCGCCGCGGCCTCGCCCCGAGACGCCCGCTGTGCGGGCGCCGGCGCCCCACATGCAGCGCTCGGCGGGGCGCGCCTCTCCGGCCCCCCGGGAAGCACGGCCAGGCGCCTCCAGGGCAGCGGCGTCCCCGCCCCCGGCCTCGGCGCGCCCATGCCGGCGCAGGGCCCTCGGGCGAGGCCGGCGCCTCTGCCTGGCAGGTGGCCACCTCCGAGCCCCCCCCCCCCGCCGACCACATCGGCTCGCCCGGGTCGATGAGGGGCGGGCCCAGACATCGGGCGTCTCGAAAAAATACGGACAGAGGTTTTCCATAGTTTTTGGCCTCTCGGAGCCCTCGCCGGGCCTCGGGACCGTCAAAAAACGACTCGGGATGAAAAACCGGTCCCAGGGAAGTGGTCGGGAGGTCGGGGGCCCGCGTCTCGAAAAAATCGAGACGTCGGATGTCTGGGGGGGGAGGGCTCGGATTCCGCAGCGTGCTCGACGATTTCCGAGCCCCCTGGCCCCGCCGCTCTTGGAGTGGCCAGACTCATGGGTTGGCGAGGGTGGGGTTCGGACGTCACCGCTCGCCCCCCCCCCCCCCGACTTCGGATCCGCCGTGCCATGGGCGATCTCGTCGCAAGTGGGGGGCAGACAGGTCCGCCCTGCTGTTCAAGCTCCTCAGAGCTCGACGTCCCCCCTGCTTTGCCGCCCTTGTGCCCGCCACAAACGGAACAGCCGCCCACGCCCCCTGAGGCAGAAGTTCCCGCCCTGCTCGGTCACGTCGACAGGGGCGCCTGGGCGACACCGCCCCAGGTCGGAAAGATGTCAGCCCACGCACGGCGCATCCGAAGCCGAGCCCCCCCCCCCCCCCCCCCGCGCGGCCGCACCCGCGAGACGAGCGCGGCTCGAGCCGGGCAGGAGGAGGCGCTAGCCTCCTCCTCGAGCTCGAGGAGGAGGAGGCGGAGGAGGTGAGGAGGAGGAGGAGGGAAGGAGGAGGAGAAGGAGGAGAGGAAGGAGGAGGAGGAGGAGGAGGCGGAGGCGGTGGAGGAGCAGGGAGGAGGAGGAGGAGGAGGGAGGAGGAGGAGGAGGAGGGGAGGAGGAGGAGGAGGGAGGAGGAGGTTAGGGAGGAGGAGGAGGATGTGGAGGTGGAGGAGGAGAAGGAGGAGGAGGAGGAGGAGCAGGAGGCGGAGGAGGAGGAGGAAGAGCTGCCCGAGCCTCCGATCCGAGCTCCGCGGCTTCGGCGCCCGTGCGCCTCCGGGAGGGCGGCGGTCGCCGGGGCCCCCATAGCGTGCAGGGAGGTTGGCCCCCGGGGAGATCGCTCGGACTGTGCCGCCAGGCGGGGAGCCACCGCCCGCTCGGAATCCGCCCCCCTTGGCCTGGGGGCAGGCCCCTTCCCCTCCCCCCTCCTCTCCTCCTCCTCCTCTCCTCCTCTCATCTCCTCCTCCTCCTCCTCTCATCCTCTCCTCTCCTCTTTGTCCTCTTTCGTCCTCTTTGTCCTCCTCCTCCTCCTCCTCCTTCCTCCTCCTCCTCCTCGTCCTTCCCTGTTCTCCTCCCCCTCCCCGCTCGCCCCCCCCTTCCCCCCAAATTCCTCGATGTGCATGCTGCTCTCCTCTCCCCCCCGAAGACCCCAGATGAGGGAGCGCGCCCCCCTCCGCGTGTTGTGGATTGACAGAGGGTGCCTGCGAGTTGGACTGTTGCATGTGCTTCTTTTCCAATCCGAAGGACTCAATTACTCCAACATGATGTTCCCGCTGCACCGCTGGCCTCATTTCTGCGATTCCGCTCGATCCGAATCGTGCTCCCGCTGCGGCGCTAGCCTCATTTGCGCGCTTCCGCTCGTTCCGAATCGTGCTTCCGCTGCAGCGCTGGCCTCATTTCCAATGCCATGCCATGGCATGCGATGCAATGCTATGTTGTGTTCCGCTGTGCGATGCCATGCCTTCTGCTGCAATGCTATGATATGCAGTGCTTGACCTCTCAGTGCCACGCCATGCTCTGTCATGCTACGCTTTGATCTTCAACGCCATGCTGTGCCATGTAAGGCTATGCTGCCACACAACGACATCCGACTGCGCGAATAGAGAGGATATCTACGCCATGGTAAGGGATGGGAGGGTGGGGGAGGACATCAGAAAAGACGCCCTAGCTTGCCCTCTCCCCTCTCCCCCCCCTTCCCAACTCCCCCACCTCCCCCACCTCCCGACCTCCACCTCCACCTCCACCTCCACCTTCACCTTCACCTCCTCAACTCACGGGGGCATGCCATGACATCTTGCTAGCCATCTCGAATAGACGCCAACCCACGCTGGTCGACGTTGATCGACGCTAATCGAAGCTGAATCGACGCTGAAACCGCGCTCTCTCTCATCGAAAACCAAACGCTTGCACATGCCAATGCATTCGGATGACGGCGTTCCGAAAGCATATAAGGCGCACATGAGTTGCTACTGAAGAGGTGTGCGTGTGCGCAGGAGCTTTGCCAGCACCAGCCAGCTCCTCATCGGGCCAAGTTGAAGCGCCAATATCTGAGGCGCTTGCTGGACGTGCGGGGCTGCATTCCCGTAGTAATCTGGGCGCCTCATGGCCGAAACCTTGCCGAGTGCGTGCTGGCGCCTTCCTGGTGCGGCACCATGTTGCTGGGTGCGGCCAGCGCCAAGGTGAACCCAGCACACGAGCAGTTCCCTCGGCCTGCTTCTGAAGTCATTTCCAAAATAGCCCTCACCGATGGTTTCTGTGACAAGGTCTGTATCCGTCCACCGGCCCAATTCGGCGCATCCCTGACACGTTTCGTGGCCCCATCGTGAGCTCCACAGCAGGCTCCTGTGGCAGGGGCCGCATGCGTCCCCCAGCCAACTCCAGCGCACCACTCACACGCCTCCTGGCCTTCCACGGAGGCCTCCCGTGGCAAGGTCCGCATGCGCCCCCCCAGCCCATACTATCTCGGCACGCTCCTCGCACGTCTCGTGGCCCCCATGCACACGCCCTGTGCCCCATCCTTCCCGCGGCGCGCTGCCCACGAGAACGGGGTCATACCCTGCGTGATGCGAAGCTGCATACATGATTGGGCCCTTCGCCAAGCTAGGTCATTCCGCGACTGCCAGGGCCCGCGCGGCCGGGCAGCAGGAACACACGAAGCCTCCGCGGCGAGCGCGCGCGACGGGGCGCGCCCCTCTCTCGACAGATGTGCGCGCTCGTGGCGCGGAGATGTCGCGCCCTCACAGCGCGCGCCCTGCATGTGCGGCGCGCCCGCGACGGCCGCGCAACGAGCCATGGCACGGCGCAGGTGGCGAGGCGTAGGCGGGCCTTCTCGCAAGCTGCTCGTCTCGTTCGACGCTGGGCCGACGACCGTCGTCGGCACGGCTGCGAGGCGCAGGCGTGGGGCGCAGGCCTCGCGGCGGGCGCTGCGAGGCGCGCGTGGCGCCCGACGCGCCGCGTGGAGTCGGGGCGCTGGCGTGCAATGGTCCTCGTGGCCGTGGGCGCTCCCCAGCGGAGCGCAGGGAATGAGAGGAGGAGGGATGAGGAGGAGGAGGAGGAGGAGGAGGAGGAGGAGGAGGAGGAGGAGGAGGGAGGAGGAGGAGGTAGCAGGAGGAGGACCAGGTGGAGGTAAGGGAGGAGGTGGATGGAGAGGAGGAGGAGGAGGAGGGAGGAGAGGAGCAGGAGCAGGAGCAGGAGGAGGAGGAGGAGGAGGAGGAGGAGGAGAAGGAGGAGGAGGAGGAGGAGGAGGAGGAGCAGGAAGAGGAGGAGGAGGGAGGAGGAGGAGGAGGAGGAGGAGGAGGTCGGAGGAGGGGAGGATGTAACGAGGGAGGAGGGGAACTGGAGGAGGGGAACAAGGCGGAGGAAGAACGAGAAGAAGGGTTGAGGAAACCAGGAGGAGGCGACGGGTGGGGAAAAGGGGGAGGAGGAGGAGGTGGAGGAGGAGAGAAGAGGAAGGAGGAGGAAGGAGGAGGAGGAGGAGGAGGAGGAGGCGGCGGGACGCGGAGGAGGAGGAGGGAGGAGGTAAGAGGTAGGAGGAGGAGGAGGAAAGAGGACGAGGAGGAGGAGGAGGAGGACGGACGAGGAGGAGGACGGTACGAGGAGGGAGAGGAGGGAGGAGGAGGAGGAGGAGGGGAGGAGGAGGAGCGAGGAGGGAGTTGCGGGGGTCGAATGAGAAGGGGGAGGAGGAGGAGGAGGTGGAGGAGGAGGAGGAGGAGGAGGAGGTAGGAGGAGAGGAGGAGGAGGAGGAGGAGGAGGAGGAGGAGGGGGGGGGGATGGGAAGAAGGAGGAGGAGTGGTGGGCGCAGCTTCCACGGCGCCCCTGGCCCCCATGAGCAGGCTCACGAGGTCCAGGGCGCCAGAAGTCGAGGGACGGGGCGGTTAACCTATACCCCGCCAGGTACACACGGGTCGCGCGCCGCGCGCGCCCGCTCCGGCGACGCCCGTGGCGTGTCCGCCCTCTCCTCGCCACTGCCAGCTCGCACCGCGCTCAGGAGGTAGGCGATCTTCTGGGCCAAGGTGCGCTCGCCTGCCCCCGAGGCCGCGGGGCCTTCCTGCTCCCGCTGTGCCTCCGCGGGGCCAAGCGGCGGGAGGGGTGATGTCGGTGCAGCGCGCTACCGGTGGGTCTGGTTAGGGTCCAGCTCGGCAGGGTGGCTGGCCGCGCAGCACGCCGTGACCGCACCCGAGAGCGGGGACGTGTAGTCAGGCAGCCAGAGGCGAGGACCGAGGGGACCGCCTGTCGCCTGCACGGTAACCTCGGTCTGGCCGTCACGGCTCGGCGTCGTCTGGCTAGGCTGGCTGCGGCGCCGCTGGCCTGTGCCCCCTGGCGGCCCACCAGGAGCCCCAGCAGCCGCCGCGCCAGCGGCCCCCCCCTCAGCCTCGGCCGCGCCGAGGGGCGCGCCGCCCGCGCGGGAATTGGCCGAGTCCCGGCCCAACTCGGCCAGCCCGCGCTCGAGGGGGCGAGGGGGGAGGAAGAGGGGGAGGGGAAGAATGACAAGGAGGGCGAGGGATTCGCGACCGCAATTGTGTTTCTTCTGGGGCGCACGGGCGCGCTGAGCGCCCCATAGTTCCAGACGAGCGGTGCCGGGGTCAGCCCTGGCAGTGCCTCTCCTTCTCCCTTGTCACCCTCTCCCCCCCCCCTCCCTCGCCTCTTTTCCTCCCCGCTTCCTCTTCCTCTTCCTGCTTCATCCTCCTCCCCCCTTCCCACTAGCCATACTATGTTCAATCCTTGTATCAACGATCATGGGGTATCGATCCAAGCGGCCAGGGCCGTCGCTGAAGTAGCGGCCCAGCCCCAGGTCGCCCAACTTCACGTTCCTGCTCGCCAGCAGTCCGCTGTCCCCCTCTTCCTTCCTGCTCCCCCATACACTCCTCCTCCCCTTTCCTCCTCTCCTCCTCCTCCTCCTCCTCCTCCTCCTCCTCCTCCTCCTCTCCTCCTCCTCTCCTCCTCCTCCTCCTCCTAACTCCTCCTCCCTCCTCTCCTCTCCTCCTCCTCCCCTTTCCTCCTCCTCCTCCTCCTCATCTCCTCCTACTCCTCCATCCTCCTTCATCCTCCTCTTCATCCCTCCTCCTCCCACATATTCTGCTCCTCCCTCCTCCCTGATATTCTCCTCCTCTATCCTCTCCTCCTCCTCCTCATCCTCCTCCTTCATCATCCTCCTCCTCTCCTCTCCTCCTCCCACTCCTCCGTCTCTCTCTCTCCTCCTCCTCCTCCCTCCTCATCATCATTATCCTCTACTCATCCTCATTCTCTCCTGCAGTCCTCATCCCCTCCTCCTCCTACTCCTCCTCCTCATTCTCCTCCTCCTCCTACTCCCCTCCTCCTCCTCCTCCTACTCCTCTCCTTCCTCCTCCTCCCTCCCTCCTCTCCTCCTCCTCCTCCTCCTCCTCCTTCTCCTCCTCCTCCTCCCCCTCAACCTCCTCCATCCCGCTCTGAGTCGTCTGACGTCGTGGTTCTCGCCGTCGGCGTTGGGAGATAACGGATTCAATAACTGAACACTGGTTTCAATAACTTCGGACACTGGCTTCAACAACTACGGACACTGGTTCCAATTCGCTGGCCCAACGGGCCAGAGGCGTGCTAAGGTCTCCGGTAACTGGTTAACAGTATCTCTAATTCGCGCGCGCGGGGCGGCCCCTGGGGGTCCCCGGACGAAAAGTACTTCGGGCGATCCCCGACCGACCCCCGGGAGACTCCCCCAGAGCGCTCCAGGAGCGCTCCAGGAGCGCACCAACAGGGCTCCGAGACGTCCCCGAAACCCTCAAGACGGGTCCAGATGCCCCCAAGAGGCTCCCAAGATGGTACACAAGGGTTCCGAGATGCCACATGATCGCTCCAAGACGCCCAAGATGGCCCCCAGACGCCCCAAGAGGCCTCCAAGAGCACTCCCAAAAGGGCCCCAAGAAGCAAAATTCATAGCTTTTCCTTAGGCTTTTGAGAGATTTTGGAGCTTCCACCTTTTCGGCTTCCCGACGCCCCAAGACGGCCCAAGAGGCCCCCAAGATCGCCCCAAGAGGGCCCAAGAGGCCCCCAAGAGGGCCCCAAGATGGCCCAAGAGGGCTCGAAGACGGCCCAAGAAGCCTCCAAGACGGTCCAAGAGGGCCCCAAGAACGCCCCCAAAGGGGCCCCAGAGAGGGAACACGAAACAACATTTCGAGCCCTCGGCCCTAAGAAGCCCCACGAGGCCCCAAGAGGCCCCTAAGAGGCCCCAAGAGGCCCCAAGAGGCCCCAAGAGGCCCCCACGAGGCCCTCAGGAGGCCCCCAAGAGTCCCCCAAGCGGCCCCAGGAGGCCCCCCAAATGCCCCCCCGAGCGCCCCAGGAGTCCCCCAAGCGGCCCCAGGAACCCCCAAAGCGCCGCATTGACACCAGGCCCTAGGGCAAACGGCAGACATGAGACTGTATGGGCCGGCGGAATGAGCGAAGCGATTACATAACTACAAACGCTGGTCTCAATAACTACTGACACCGGTTTTGATAACTACTGACATTGGTTGCAATAACTACTACTGACACGGGTTTCAATAACTAGAACCATCGGTTTCAAAACTATTGCGAACAATGGTTTCTTCAACAACAACAAACACGAGCGTGCCCACGTGGGCGGATGCAGCGAAAGACGAAGGAGAGACAGTTTGCAGATCGAGGTTCGGTCTTCAGTCCCTTCCGATGCGTGTGTGTGTGTGCGTGTGTGTGTGTGTGTGTGTGTGTGTGTCTGGGCCTGGAGGTTCATCGCCGCGGTTGGGTCCGCTATCCAACGTTGGTCGAGTTTGTTTTGTGGAGGGTCCCAGGGTCCAACTCCGGAAGGCCACTTCGGAATCGCCGCCCTCCCCTCTCCAATCACCTGCCCCCCGCGGCGACGACGGCGACGACGACGACGAAGACCTCCCTCCCTCTCCCGACGACGACGATCGTCGTCGCCGGGGGGGGAGCCCCTCCCCTCTCCAGTCATCCCCGCCCCCCGCCATCACCTGGGGACCTTTGGGAGGCAGGCGGGGCGGGGACGAGAACGGAAAAGGAAGGAAGCGGGGTGGGGAAATTTACGGAACATGCAGAAAAAGGGATTGACGCGTGGAAGTGTTCGGAACATCTGTTCCTGGAAGAGGCTTTCGGGGGAGGGAATTGTTGTCGAAGGAGGGGGGCGCTTTTGGAACAGGGTGAGGTTTTCGGAACGGTTCTTCTGACGAAGGGCTGTTTTCGGAGGAGGGGGAGTTGTCAGACCAGGAGGCTCCTCGGCGAAGGGGTGGCGTTTCGGATGGGAGGAGGTTTTCGGAGGAGGGAGGAAGGTTTGGAAAGAGGGGGAGACTTTTCGGAAGAGAGTTATCGTAGAGCAGGCGGGGGGGGACAGAAGGCTGGGAAGTTTCAAAATTACAAGCAATTGGTTCAGCAACTGCGGACATTGGTTCCAATAATTGTGAGCATTGGCTCCAATAGTTACCGACAATGGTGTCAAACATTGCGAGCAATGGTTTCAATAATTACTGATACTGGCTGCAATATTCACTACTGGTATTGAAGCCAGCGGTTTCGTTTTCAATATATAAGCTCCAACAATAAACTAATCGTTGTCGGTCGGCCTCAAAGCCGGACGTTCGGGCATTGTCATACATTGGTTTCTACTTCGTTTGTTGGTGTTGATTGCCATGATGTTCGTCATGTTAGTCTTATTGTTATTGTGTGCATGTGTGTGTGTGTGTGTTCGTCCTCCTCTTCCGCCCGTACCGTCCGTCTTCCCTCCTGGTCTTCCTCCTTGTATTGGTCCTCATTTTTCTAATTGTCCTCATCTTACTCTTGGTCCCCAAGTTCCCCTGGGTCTGGTTCCTCCTCCTCTTCCTCCTCATCCCTTGCTTCTTTCACCTCCTCCTCCATTTCCCCCTCTTGGGCTGCTATTGTGCAAGGGAGCACAAGATACGAAAACGACAAGCTTGGACGACAACGAAATTCCTCTATGTCTAATCGCCGCCGCCGTGCTGCATATTGCTGTGTTGTAGAATCTGGACCTCCCCCCTGGACCCCCCCTCTCCCAAAACGATAACTCCTGGGAGCCGGCCACAGGTGTGAATCTTTGCAATTTCTACAGGGCCTTTAAGGCATCCGCATGAGGAGGAAGAGGGAGAGTAGGGGAAGGAAGAGGAGGAGAAAGAAGTGAGAAGAAAGACGACGACGACGATGACAAGGACGACCGACGTGCCAGAGGCTCCCGGATGTGTGCACAAGCATTGTCGTCGACGTCGCAGTGGACGTTCTAGTCGTTGTCGTAGCTCGTAGTCGCCGTAGCGTTCCTCATCTCGTCGTCCTAGTTCTCTTCATCATGTCACAAGGTATTTCGCGCAAGTGTCATGGTCTCTATATTAGCGCTGTGCTGTGGTGTTTGCAAACGCTTTGGTGCACGCAAGCGCTGGCAAGCAGGCGCTGAAGTGCGCAATGGCGCTGTTGCGCACGCGGGTGCTGAGGTACACAAATCCGCTCTGTTGTGCGCAGGCGATGTGGCGACATGGTGCGCGCAAGTGCCAGGTTTAGCAGAGGCACTGTGGTGTACACAAGCGCTGTGGTGCACGCAGGCGTTGTCGTAAACACACCCATGTTGCGCTCGTGTTGCGGGCGCGCTTTCGGGGGCGCATACCAGCTGCTATTACGGTCCCCCCCCCGCACCCCCTCCCCGGGTAACACTTTTTCGCCGCGCCGCGGCAGAGGCGATCCGCGCGCGCGCTCCAAGGCACCGGGCTCGGGCACGCACTCACTGTCCGGCTGCAGGAGAGGAGAATGGGGCCAGAGGGCGGCCGCGGAGGGCGGGAGATAAAGGGAAGGGGATGCGGGAAGGCCCAAACGCCCGCAGCGGCTGGGCCAGCAACGAGCTCGCTGCAGCATTGCCGACTGCTGAGAGCAGAGCTGCAGGTCTGGTGGCTGCAACGCTGCCGAGGGCTGCAACGCAAACTGCCAAACTGCTGGGGGCTGCAGAGCTGCAAAGCACCAGCTGCTGAAGCGGCGCAGCGCGACGAGGGCCTGGCAAAGCGCCGCTGAGGCGGCCAGCAGGGCTGCCAGGGGCCGGTGCTGCTAAGCACGTGCGCGGAGGCTGCAATGCTGAGCCGCTGAGGGCCATGCGGCAAGGCTACTGGCCGAGGCGCCGCCGAGGCGTCCAGCGGGGCTGCCAGTAGCCAGGGCTGCCGAGAGCAGGACACCACCTGCGGGGTGCCGCAGGCCGCCGCGGGGACGCCCCGGCGGCGGCAGGGCGCAGGGAGGCGGCGAGTGAGAACCGCCCCCGGCCGGCGCACGCATCGGAGCCGGGCGCGTCGGGGGCGCCCCGCCACGGGGCCGGCGGGGCGGGGGCGCCCAGCTGCGGGGGCCGCGGGGCCGGGGCAGGCGAAGGCGGCCTCCCGACTGGTCAGGTCACGTCATGTGCGGCGTGCGCAGGGGCGCGCCCTGTGCGGGCTGCCGCGGGCCTCCTCGCCTTCTCACACGCGCTTTCTCGCAACCGCCACCTTCTCACACCCTCGCAAATTAGTCGGTCCATCTCGTTAATGGCCTCCAGACTGGCGCAAGTAAAACAGCAGAGATGCCACCGGGCCGCCCAGCCTCCAAGCCAGCCGGGCGCGGGCGCCCAGCAGGGGCAGCGAGGCAGGAGGCGGGCGGAGCCGAGAGGGAGCCTCCTAGTGCGCGACGGCCAGGGGCCGCGAGGCCCTGACGGGCCGCACGGCTGATGGGAGGCGGCGCCGGGAGGAGCCACAAGAAACTACGCAGAGGCCCCGTCCAGGATCCCCCCGGCCAGCCCCAGGGAGGGTTGGAGTCTCTGTCTGCCTCAAACGCCAGGTATGCTCGCACT